TGCCCGTGCGCAAGCGTTTCATTTTTAAGATTTTACTTTTTACTTACAAAATTTTAAACGGTTTAGCACCTTGTTACTTGGCGGAACTTATTAATCTTCGTCAACCGATAAGGTGTCTTGGTTCAAATAATGATCACCTGCGACTGCACATACCGGTGTTTAGGACAAAGACCTACGGGGGAAGCGCTTTTTCATCTTGTGCGCCAGCGCTATGGAATAGCCTCCCACTTGATGTGAGAAGCGCCCCATCAGTGGATACGTTTAAAACGTTTTTGTTTAATAATGATCTTTAGTATTTCTATAATGAATTGGAGTATCTTATGATGAATTTTAGTATTTAATGAATTTTAGTATTTTATCATCCATTTTAATTTAATATATTTTCCTTATATTGGTTTCGTTATCGTTTTCTCATTTTTATTCTGTAAGAGCATTGAGATCTTTCAATGTAATGCGCTAGAAATAAATTATTATTATTAAAGCTACGGCTGCATACGTGTATGCAAACAAACAATTTCCTTTGTGTTTTACGTTTTAGTCTGTTATTTTGTAGTCTTTGATATTCACCTCTGAAAATTATACTAACACAATTATTCGCCTCAGACTCAGTGAACATTGGTGAATATTCACCTTGACTTCGTCTCGGTGAATATTCACCAATGTCCACCTCGCCATCACGATTTAAACCAATCAGCGCGCGTATTTGTTTTGGTTTATCTTCTAACATTTTATATAAATATAAATATAAAACAAAAAAAACTGCTTGCTTTATCAGAGAAAAGATACACAGTAAGCTGAATTTTTTTCCTTTTTGCTTCGCAATTTTGACAAATTTGACCCCAATTAAACGTTCCCTGTGACTCAGACAAACGTTATGGAAACGAGCTCTTTGTTTGCGGTAATCATAGCTGCCTGGAGGCCATTGTTAACAACAGAACAAAAGAAGTGCTTTGTTGGATTCCGACAAAACACGTAGCGAAATAAACAAATTCTCAACCTTGCGAATGCCTTGATAAAAGACATTATATTTAGTTACTTAGCCTGAAATTATACTTAAGAAGTAAAACGACAGAAAACACCACTTGAGCTATCTTTGTCTATGATGAGAAGCTTTATATTTGTAAAAATGCTCAAACAACACTTGCATAGAGTGTAATAACGCACGTTCTCTAAAAAGCGATCTCTTGTCATCTCAGCGAAGTGAAACTCAACAATTACAACACTCACCCGACGAGTAATCAGTTAAAAGCTTCCTCTAATATTCTCTCCTGTACTCGGAGTAGAACCAGTGGGAGCAGTTTAGTCTTTCCAAATTTGTCGCTAGTTAGGGAAATCTTGCAGCAAGCCAAAAGCTTACATAGCTGTAGCTCCCTTCAAATACAACTCAGCATTTCGCATTTTCATCCGAAAGCTTTGAGCTCTTTGTTTCATAATTTCCATTGGAAAAGTGCAGTTCTTCATAGGCTACAATACTGCCGGATTCCTTTTATATCCTTCTTTCTAAATCAAACTAAAAAGTGAATTTTGAAGCGATCGTCTTTCTCTCGTAAGCCACTCGAAACCGAAAGTTTAGCTTGAGTGTTGTCAGCTTTTGTCTCGTTAGCCACTCAAGTTATTCGAACAATTCTAAGAAGGATTGTGATCGGCTTACTTTAGCGTGCTTTATCAGAGAACAAATGCTCGCTTCC